ATGACTCAATCTACTTCTTCCTTGTTTCCCCCATTTCTATTCTTCCTTCTTTTCTGTCTTCTTTGTCCTTGGACACATGCTACTCTTTTTTTTTAATATTTTAATTTATTTTTTAATTGTTTTTTTTTGGGTGTGTGTATGCATGCGTGTACTGTCAAATTGAATCTGACTGGTACAGGTAGAGATTGCTCCTCTTTCTCCAGCAGAGCATCTGATGGATTTGAACCACATACCTCTGGAATTGCAGTGCAGCTTCTTGCCACTAGGCCACCAGAGTTCCCTACATGCTACTCTTTTGATTTCGATTGTTCTAAAGGATGCTTACAACATAACACCCTATTACTTGACCGAAAATTGAACCATGATGATGAGTTCAGTTCCAAGCGTTAAATATGACTTTGTGGGCCACGGGTTCTGGGTCGCTCCAGTTTATATTACCAGTATCCCTGGTCAGTTCCTTGAAGTCTGCTGTTAGGGACCTCTCCAAAGTACTGAAGAGCAATGGTGTCTCTCTGGAGACTAAGGTGCGTCTGATACAGGCCATGGTCTTCACAATCACTTGTTATAAAACTAAATGAGACAATGACCAAGGAGGATAGAAAGAGAATTGATGCCTTTGAGCTGTGGTGCTGGAGAAGAGTATTGAGAATACCATGGACTGCTAGGAAAACAAACAGATTTGTCCTGGAAAGGGTTAAACCAGGTGGCTCCTTGGAGGCAAGGATTCTGAGGCTCCGTCTAACATACTTTGGACATGTTGTGAGGAGAGACCGGTCCTTGGAGAGGGACATCATGCTTGGGAGGGTGGAGGGACAGCGCAGGAGAGGAAGGCCCTCTATGAGGTGGATTGATTCAGTGACTGGGATAATTGGGATGAGAATGTCAGAGACAGTGCGATTGGCACAGGACAGAGCGGAGTTTAGGGCTGTTGTACATAGGGTCGCTGTGAGTCGTAAGCACATAACAACAACATCCCTGGTCAACTTTTGTTTTTTACTTTAGTTCCATATTTTCCTCCCACTTTAACTAAGACCTTATAGTGAGATCTCTTATAATGGTCTGCAGGTGTAACTGGGTCCCACTTTGTGTTAGTCTCAAGGTTATAGAGGCTCACGCTTCCATTGGTACATTAATCTTTTGGGCTTATTGTTTGCATACACTTTTTTGGGAAAAGAGTGAAAGACTACAGAACATACTGGTTCTTTACTTACCAGTTCATAAACATTTTGCTTCATGACATTCATTGTAATTCAACACTCTTTACCACTTTCTCCCTGTGATTTCGATTTCCATTTATTCCTCTAGCTTTCCCTACCTCCTGAGCTTTATTCCTGGTTAAATGGTGTCCTTTTGATATCCTAAGAGTGTATACTTTCCTACTATTGTTCACTTTGAATTGGAGTCAATTCGATGACACCCAACAATTTTTTAGAAGAAAAGTTGAGCCATGGGGATGAATTTTCTTCCAAGGTAGGATGATTAAGGGCCATAATCTAAGGGGTTCCAAAAGTCTCTACCAGACCAGTAAAGCATGGTTGGTTTTTTTTTGTTGTTGTTGTTTTTTAACACCCTTGAGATAAAAGTGTTTTCAAAAAGCAAAAGAGGGTACCAGTAAGTCCTAGCATCTGGCCTTAGTCATTAAAGCCAACTCATAGTGATCCAAAATGACAGAATACTACTCTGTTGAGTTTCAAGGTTGTGAACTACAGCTGTGACATCTTTTTCTTTGACAATGACTTTGACAAACCACCAACCTTCTGGTTAGCAATTAAGCTCTTAACCACTGAACCATCAGGGTACTGCTTCTATAAGGCCCACCAGGTAATCTTTGGTCATTAGTAAGAAAAAACAAACAAACCAAAAACAAAAATCTGTTTTGGAGGTTTTCAATGCCTGACTTAAATAGGTCTTTGTATTTTGAGGAGCCTATAGATGCCATCTCAAGCTGCCATCTGCCATCCTTTCAGTTAGCATCCAAGGTCATTAATCATCTGCACCATCCAGGTACTCAACCAAACAGATTCTCTCAAACGTTCATTACTGTTGAGTTGAGATTGTCCATCTTTCTCCACTGGATTTGAACTATGTACCTTTGATTTGCAGCACAACTCCTTAATACTAAACAATGAGCACTCCCTAAAGTTATAGTAGGGATGGAAAGAAATAATTTTATTTGACATAAGCCAAAAAACAAACAAACAAAAAAACACAACAAACCCCAGTATCAGTTCCAATCCAAAGAATATTATAAAGTAAATCTCATATATGAGTTTACAATTTAGTAAAAGTTTCACCTTTCCATGAATTGTAAATGATTACACAATCATTCAGATTTAGTGTTAGCCATTTCTTTTTGGAACTGTGACTGTGTACCTTCCATCTTCTTTTGATACTAGTTGAGTAGTTCAATATTTTGATCATAGAATCTTGATTATTAGAACTCAAAGCTTGATTTATTTTTCTTCAGTTCCTTTAGGTTTACAATTGCTGAGCATGTTCTTCCAGTTTGATTTTAACTCCAGGTATATGCACATATTATAACACTCTGTCTACTCAAACTGTTCTTTGAAATTTTATGTTGTGCTCTTCTATTTCTTCTTTATGTTGAGTAAAATTTTCCAAGAAGCTAGCCTCTATGAAAAAAGTGGCATGAGGATTAGAGCAAGACTCATTAACAGCCTGCAGATGACACAACCTTGCTTGCTGAAAGTGAAGATAGTAAAGCTCTTACTGAAGAAGGTCAAAGACTACAACAGCCTTCAGTATGAACTGCCTCTCAACATAAACGGAAATCTGTATCACTGGATCATCTGGTAGATTATTAGCTCTCAGTGGGAGAGAGATGGGCATTCTCTTCCCTTGCAATTTACAGCCTCTGAAAACCCACAGGAAGGACCAGGTTGGCAGCACATAACAAAACTTTGTGGTAACTGAAATGTAAGTTTATTTAGTGACTTTCCCATGATCATAGAATCATCACTTTTTGCCGTAGAGATTTCAGATGAACGACATTTCTCCATGTTGTTTCTCATGTCCCACACTCTTCAAAAACCCTAAATGCATTTTGGATGCTTTAACCATGTAATATTTTTCAACACAATTTTGTCTCTGCTAAAAGAAAAAAGAAAAATAAAGCCTCTTTTCCTTCACTCTGGTCCTGGAATTGCTCTCTTCCTCCAGTCTCTCATCTTTTCAGGGCTATTCCAGAGCTCCCTGACTACAGTACAGCCAGAATCTGTTCTCTAAAATGTAAGGGTGATCATGTTACTTCCTTACTTAAAAACCATTCAATGGCTGTCCATTGTCTGGCAGATTAAGGTCCAGCTCCTTGGTATGCTAACTCTGGTTCAAATATCTGGTCCTTACTGCTTCTACAGTCTTATCACTCGTCATATCCTCTTTTGCATTCACTTAGCTGGTGAGATCAAACGTCTCAGTTTTCTGAACACAACAGGCCGTTTCGTTGATTTTTAGGCCTGCAATATTTCCCTTCCCCCATCCACCTCTGGATATTGTGGTTTTGTTTTGTGCTGGGTGAGTCGCTTGTGACTCATAGCGACCCTATGTACAAGGGCCCTAAACCCTGCTCTATCTTGTGCCAATCTTACTGTCTCTGACACTGAATCGATCCATCTCATTGAGGGTGTACCTCTTTTCAGCTGTCTCCACTCTCCCAAACATGATGTCCCTTCTCTAAGGACTGGAAAAAAAAAATCTCGTAACAATTCATGAGAAATGATTGTTACGTTTTGGTTCATATCACAAATCTGTACAGTGCACTGCAATAAATTATTACAAGTATCCATCATCCTACCCTCCGGCTTTAACTACACTTCTTTATCCAAGGCACTCAGTTTCTGACATATTTTTGTTGTTATGTGACGTCGAATTGCTTCTGACTCATAGCGACATATAATGAGATATTAAAAATGTTTAATGAGCAGAATTGGGAAGAAGGAAGGAAAAGCTCTTTGAGAAGACTACTAATTTAATACTAGACATGCAAATGAGTTGTGAAGGTCAGAAAGATATAAGATACAGCTTTGGAGGCAAAGATGTGCACACCAAAGTTAACATTCTCTCATTCCCTAGGAGTCAGAACCAACTCTGAGTTGACTTTCCAGTAGGTTTTTCCAGCCCGTAAATCACATGGGAGCCAATTGTCTCTATTTCTCTGGAGGAACATCTGATTTTGAACGGCCAGAGAGGGCACCACCATTGGGTTAGCAGCCCTACTCCCTATGAACTATGCCTGTCAACATTGGGGCATAAGAAATCTGGGTAGAAATGGCTACTACAGACTTTACGTAAACTTCAGCATTAGAGCTGAGAAGGGTTTGAGGGCCTTCTAGCTGCTGGGCATTTCCCACGCATTTAAAATTTTGATCTTTCCAACAACAGGATATTCCTATCCACCTTAGAAACGAAGACACAAGCTCGAGTAATTTAGTTGCCCAGAATTATGCACTACCATGTGGCAGAAGCATAATCTAAATTTAGGCCACGTGCTCCGACCTCCTCTTTGTCTCGCTTACCAAGTCTCCTCTGCTGTTCACTAGCACCTCACTCCAGAGTTACCAGGCCCAGAACCGACGGACACAGGAACTCTAGAGCAGGGACAGAACGAGGCGCGCCGCTAGCGCACGCCCCGAGCCGACCCCGCGACGCCCCGCCCCTCGCGCTCGGCGCCGCGCTGCGTCTCTAGCTCCCCTCCCTCGGGGGCGGGGCCGCGGCGCTGCCCAGTCCGAGGGCTGACGGCGGCTGAGACGGCGTCCTCGCTTCGGGGAGGTTGCCGGACGGGTGTTTCAGGCGCCACAGCCCGGCCGGCGGAGGTGGTGGGCGGAGAGGGGTGGGGGGAAGGAAGAAGGGAGGGCGGGCGAGAGGCCGCGGCGGAGGAGGAACTTGTTGCCCCCGCGACTGCGCCGTGCTGCTCCCTTCGCTCTAGTTCGCCCGGGCGGGCGCGGCAGCGGCGGCGGCGGGGGCGTCGCGAGGCCGGGGCGATGCGGCGCAACCAGCGCATCGTGGTGTTGTGTCTGGGCTGCGGCTTTTGCTTGCTTCTGTACGCCTTCAGCCAGCTCGCCGTGTCACTGGAAGAAGGAGC